TTGCGTTCTCTCTCTCTCTCTCTCTCTCTCTCTCTCTCTCTCCTCTCTCTCTCTCCCTCTCTCTCTCTCTCTCCGTGAAGATCTGGAATAAGGAATTTAACCTTTGTTTCATACTTTTTAGGTAAGTGAATAATTAATCTTACTTAAATATCTCATTACCACTAAGGAAAAATTTATTACGGTTTCATTGTGTTAAGGTATATTTGAAAATATTTTAAGCTTTTTAGGTAATTTTAAAAATAAAACTTTAAGGGGGTTCAAAGTGTTATAAATTTTAAATGAGTTAGTATGAGGTGCAATTTCCTCCATTTCTATACACATATGATGATGATGATGATGATGATGATGATGATGATGATGATGATGATGATGATGATGATGATGATATACATTCGGAGTTCCAATGCGGCTGGTTCCTTAAAGTGAGGACGTGAGACTCATTTTTAGCCACAGGATTTGGTACATAATGTGTGGCAAAGATTAATCTTTTCTCTTTATTATTTTAATTATCTAAATATTATTTTGATCCGTTGACTCCGACGTTGACCGTTGACTTCCGATGTTGACTTCGAGCAGAATTCGTTGACTTCCGACAAAATCCGTTGACTTTCGACGTTGACTGCTGACTTTTGGCATTGACTCCGGCGTTGACCGTTGACAACTAACCTTCCAATTAGATTAGTTCTTCGTAGTTGCTAGGTTAGTTCTCTGTAGTTGCTAAGTTAGTTCTTTGTAGTTGCTAGGTTAGTTCTCTGTAGTTGCTAGGTTAGTTCTCTGTAGTTGTTAGGTTAGTAGTTGCTAGGCCTTTTTTTTTATAAAACGCCCCGAAGGACGGGGGATTGGGCTGGATCCCCAACCTATACATAGATCAAGACCCCAAACGGGCCCAGAATATCAACCAACTACAGTCAACAGAATCTCACAGTCAAAACAGAAAAAAAAAAGTCTGTCTAGGGGCTAACAGGTGCCCGGAATAAATATCTGATCTAATAAGGGCAAAAATCTAATCTACTGAAAGCGAAACGATGGGTATCCAAGTTGGTCCATCCGAACAAGTGTGCGAAAGCGGAGTGGAGCAGTGTCGATCTGAAACGTATGTAGGTCTGGTATGGTAGCGCCAAGGATGGGAAGGTAGTCAACAGGTCTGTTCCCCTCACGGAAAATGTGCGTAATCTTGTGTTGGACAGACCGCAGAAGAGCTCTAATGCGCATAAGCGGGTGCTGAATCTGCCACGAGCCCTGGTTGCCCGAAGTCAAGAGAGTGGCGACGGCCGCAGCTTCCAGCTCGATCCAAATATGACTAGAAAGGTGAGCAGCAATCTGAAGGCCAATCTGTAATGCCTGAATCTCTGCGTCGTAGCTCGAAGAGGCCTGAAAGGACGTGTGGAAGGCGGTGATGAGTGCTCCACTGTGGTCCTAGATCAAGCCTCCTCCTCCGGCAGCCCCGGTATGGCGATCGAAAGAACCATCAGTGTTCAGCTTGACCCAAGGGGGATCGAGTCAAAGCCAAACAACAGCTCTGGCCCGAGGGGGCCAAACAAGCGGAGGGGGAGCCACCATGTAGCGGTGTGGTGGCGTGCAGCCAGTCCAGTCTCGGACAGTGAGCCTGCCCAATGCTGTCAGGAGTGAAAGATGTCTCTCTACCTGCAAAACAATGTGAGAAAGCAAAAAAGTAATATCCCTATGCTTCGCACTATTCCTTTCCGTCCAGATGAACCAAAGAATCAGACAAGGAATGAGGAAGCCCACGTGTCTAAAGTGTGTGCTCTGTAAGAAAGAAGTCAGGAGCTCAAAGAAACTGTCTGTGGAGGGTAGGGATATATGGGTCCAAGTGACAAAGTGCTCTCACACTCTCCTCACAATCTCACTCTCTAAAAAAAGGTGTCAAAAGATCTTGGTCTCATGACGTCCGGTCTCAGAACAATACACACACCGGGAGGGGAGCTCTCTGTAGTTGATAGGTTAGTTCTATGTAGTTGCTAGATTAGTAGTTGCTAGGTTAGTTTTATGTAGTTGCTAAGTTAGTTGTCTGTAGTTGCTAGGTTAGTTGTCTGTACGTAGTTGCTAGGTTAGTTCTCTGTAGTTGCTAAATTAGTAGTATGTAGTTGCTAGGTTAGTTCTCTGTAGTTGCTAGGCTAGTTGTCTGTAGTTGCTAGGTTAATTCTCTGTAGTTGCTAAGTTAGTAGTTGCTAGGTCAGTTCTCTGTAGTTGCTAGATTAGTTCTCTATAGTTACTAGGTTAGTTCTTTGTAGTTGCTAAGTTAGTTCTCTTAGTTTCTAAGAGTAGTTGCTAGGTCAGTTCTCTGTAGTTGCTAGATCAGTTCTCTGTAGTTGCTAGATTAGTTCTCTGTAGTTGCTAAGTTAGTTCTCTTAGTTGCTAAGTTAGTAGTAGCTAGGTTAGTTCTATGTAGTTGCTAGATTAGTACATCTCCAATGTTGCGCTACTCTAGCGTATTACGCTAGAGTAGAGATAAAATTACTCTCCAGCGCTGCGCTACATCTCTGCACTACTCTAGAATTATAAACAGTATCGCGCTACATTTGGCGTGTACTATTCATTACTCTACAATTTTTATTTGTTTTTAATTTTTTTAATATGCAATTGATTTATCTTAAAATTTATTATTTGACAATATTTTTACCATTAAATTTATATTTGAGAATTATATAAAAAATTATTATTAAAAAAATATATTTTATATTAAATTACTATAAAATAAATCAAATATTATATAAAAACAATAATTCTGTGTAGAACAATATTTCTAACCAGTGGAAGACCAACTAATATCATGATATATTTTATTTTATAAAATAATATGTCAAATTAAATAATATATTTACATATTAAATAAATTAAAATAATATAAATAATATATGTGGAGTAGAATGACGTTGGAGGCCAAATTTGATTTTTGGTTAACTCTACTTTAGAGTAAAGTAAACTCTGCACTAGAGTAGAGATAAAGACTATGATCTTAGATCATCATGTAAACGTTAGGATAGTTGATCTAATTACAAACTCCCTCAAAATGGTTCCGTAACAGGACCGTAGCATCTCTCGATTTATTAACTGTGAAGCACATTTTATCTCCCATATATATGTACTTATGTGCTCAGTAATGAAGCTAAGAATTCATTACAACTAAAGTGGTTCACTGTAAACAAGAAAAAAGACGAGTCCTTTTCTTCCCCCGTAAATAGATATATATATCTTTTCCAGGAAAAGACGACTCAAGGCATTTAACTAAAAGTTAAATACAACAGAGAGAGACGCAGTAAATGAATATAACAGAAGAAGATGAGTAATAATAAAACAAATCAAGTCCGGTACAAGAATTATCAAGTTACTATTACCAACACTGGAAAATTATACTAATCAGAGCAACACGTCTTTTCATCTCCTCATTACTGATTTACTTCCATACAGGAAAATTTAAATTCAAAAAAAAAAAAAGATGATAAATCAATTAATTAATTAATTAATAGGGTTACCAATACCATAACTTGACCCACCACCTAGATGCCCTCCAGTACCCGAGCCCCCATACATCTGATCGGACGGCTCCGGGTTCACCGGCGGCGATGACGTGCCCCCGCCGCCCAGATGCAATTCCGATAGATTTGGAAGGGCATCTCCACCGTCAACACCTTGATCGTAAAGGAAACCTTTGAAAACATGGCCGCCTATTCTCACGATCGCCTGATACGCATACTCATCTTCGCCGTCGTCCACAGCCGTTACCCTCACGCACTTGAAAAGCGCCGGCGCCCGCACCTGACCCGGCAGTGCTGATCCCTTCAAACAACTCGCATCTACACCTACACAATTAGTTAATAATAAATCACAAGAAAAAAAATAATATGTATGGTGTTATATAAATATGAAGATCTAGTAAGAAATATAACCTTGCTGATGGCTAGAAGTAGTGTCGAAGCTTCTTGGAGGTGTGGTATTGGAAGTGGATGTGTGGGAGGTGGTCTGGGACGCGCCGCCGAGTCTAGGTTTCTTAGTGCCGGATGTGGACTGCGAGGAACAGCCCAGCAGCTGCCTCTCGCGGCGGCGCGCTGCCGGAACCCACGTGCTTTTCACGTGGGTGGCGCAGTCGTAGCCCCTGCTCTTGCAGCAGGTCCGGCACCTCCGGTGCGGACAGTCCTTCTTAGCCTGGTTCCCGCAGTCCTGGCAGGTGGCCGGCCCGCCGAGGGACGGAGACGGCCGTCCGGTGTTAGAGTCTCCGCCGGCGGCGGCGGCCTGGAGGAGGGTCGCGTGTTCGAGGGCCACGGGTTTGACAAGGTAAGCAGACGAAGGGGGAGGAGGGTTCAGCCCCGGCGGGTTCTGCCACAGCTGCATCGAGCCACGAGCGCCGCTCTCGTCGGCGGCGGCCGCCGTGAGGAGGGGGATCACGCCGACCATGGCGCTGGAGACGGGCAGGGGCTGAGGGTCGAAACCGGCGGCCGGGGTCTGGTGCTGGTGGTGGAAGGAGGAGGCCGGCGCGACGAAGAAGAACTCCGGCGGGAGGCCGCAGTTGACGTGCCTGGCGGCGGAGGGCCACATTCCTCCGACGGTGCTGTTGTTGGGGCCCGCATTAAATCCGAGGGAAAGGTCTCCGGCGGGGGCGGGGGACGTGGAAGAAGCGACCCAGTCGCCGGGATTATCGGATGCCAGCCGCCGACTAGTAGCCACAGCTATAAATGCTTGTCACTATACAAACTGGAAATATTTAAATAGCTATCTATGAAATTAATCTAAGATGGTTGTGAACTGTTTTCTGAAGATAATTCCTTGCCAGCAGAACAAGATTTGAGAGAGAGAGAGAGAGAGAGATTTGAATAATGTATTAAATAATAATAATAATGAATACTGTGGTTGATCAGATAAGGTGGTCTGCAGCTAGCTTCTTGTTTCTTCCACATCAATCCATATGTATAAATCACTGCCACTTACATCTTCTGTCCCTTTGGCCTTTTTTATGAAAGATTTTTTATATATATATATATTTTTGTTATTGAAAGAGGGAGCTAGTTGAGTTGAGGTTGTGTAGCAGTAGAGATAAAAAAGAGAGAGCGAGGAAGGAGGGACCCCCACATCAAATACTTGCTGCTTAGTGAGAGTGAGTTGAGTATTTTGTGGTGGTGGTGGTGGTATTATATTCCCATTAATTTACTAATTTAACTAGTGAGAATCCCGTGCGATATACGGGGATTTCGTAATATAAAATATTTTTGCGACACTTTATTTTAACAATATATTAGTCCGTTGATCCGTCTATATTAATATAAATAATATTTTAACATATTTATTTATTTTTTAATACAAAAAATAAGAGTTTTTACATATTTTGGTTCATCTTCAAATATTACTTTATTAAAAAATTATTGTCGTATATTGTCAATATTATTTATACGATTTACAGAAATATTATTTCTTTTTTATATAATGGTAAATATTTATTGTATGTTAATATTATTTATTGATGTGATTAAATTAAAAATATATAAGTAAATATAATGTTTGTTACGAATGTGATAGACCTTGACATTTTAAGTACAAATATATGATATATGTACAAATACCGTATATGATATAATATCTTGAGATACAAAAAAAATTTTTGTGTGATTTATTACTTTAATTAATTATCTCAATTACCTAAATTGTGTTTTTCAAACACAACATAAAATGTTTAATAGTTTCAAAATTAGTAATAATATTTTTTTTTACGGCATATAGTTAATATTTAAAAAATAATTAAACTTTTTTATATTCTATAGAATATAAATTTCTCTCACGAAAGTCGAAAGTGATAAAATGGGCAGGTCCGGGATTTGCCCGAATATGGATTGTGATTATTGGAGAGAGAGAGAGAGAATGCTAGAAACCAAAAGGGATGTGTGAAAAAGATGGTCACTTTGGATTTGTAGGTTTATTAAGCTCACATGCCAATCTTTCTCTTACTAATCATATTTCTTATTAGTTTTTTTTTTTTTTTTTTTTTTTTTTTTTTTTTTTCCCTCTTAACCTTTATCCAATTCAAATCTAAAAATTTGAGTAACTTGAATTGAATATTGATACGTCGGAGAGACCTGGACTTAGATTGAACCGGCTAATATGAAGCATTGATCGTCCTTGAGCCGCCTACTACTTGCAAAATAAGTGTCGGGGAGGTTACCGGCATTAGCACTTCAACGCTCGGATCATTACAGGGGGATAAGATGATATAATATGTGTTGATGGTAGTCTGCCAACGATTATAAATATGTTTAAAGCAGTTATTATAGGGTTTAAGAGTATTTATGGTATATTTTAATAGCAGAGAACATTGATAGATGAAGAAGAATAAGGGCTCGCTTGTTTACTAATTAATTTGTTCAAAATGAGTTATTTTGGTTAACCATAGTTGAGTTTGAAAAATGTGGCATGCTTAGCTGTTAGTAGAGTTTTAAGAATGTATTAAAATAATATTTAAAATTAAATAATTAAAACTGATTTGATGTAAAAGGAGGAGATAAATAATTGAAAATGATTAGAAATAATAGATCGTTAAAATTATGTCAGTCGATGAATAGTATAAAGTTCATGTGATGTGTAAGAATGATTAGTTTGTATTATTTAATTTTATGAACATTATTAAAGATAGTTGGTGGGGTTAAAATTGAGATAATTTTGAGTATAAATTGAATGAGAGTGAATTTGGAGTTTTTCTCCACATTTTTTATTGAGTAATTGTATAGTAAGTGTACAACCGAGTATAGTAAGTGAGTGGTTGTGTATGGTCTTGGAAGATCATCTCATGTGAGGGCAAGATAATGTGGTTATGTGATGTGGTGATGAAGCATTTATGGGATGATCTCTTTTGGACCTTGAAAAGTCAACATTTATACACAAAAATAGGTGAAAAAGCATTAAATGATATGTGTCAGCTAGGGGTGTGTTATCATCCGACTCGGTAAATCGTAATTAAAGGCCCAAAACGGAACCATAAGCGAATTTGATTCAGACATTACCATAGCCTAAAGTCATCCCGGTTCGCGCAATAGACCGATACGACTCAAGAAGACCGAAATGACTCATCCTCCGCCGAAGTCATCCCAAATCGAGGTCAACATAAACCGAGGTCGTCACCTCCTAAAGCAGGTGACGAGGCGCCTACACACCCCTATCACGATCTACGAGATTTGTCATCATTCATGTGGGACCCACTGCTCCAACCGCCCACCAAAAGTTACTTTATGCTGAAAATAATACACGGATCCCAATATGTATATCAAAAAAGGTTACTATAAATAGTTAGCCACTGATTTTTGTAAGGGATCTGATTCGGAACCCAACAATTTGACAATAAAACACGAAACAGCCCATAAAGGCTTTTCACCTCGGTCCACCTCGGTCCGGGGCCACTGTTGAGTTTTTCTTGCATGATTTACGTTCAAACCACTTGAAATCATCTCATAACCTCCTCCTTAAATCGTTGTTAAGAATCATACGACAACAACTTGGCGCTAGAAGGAGGGCCTCATAAGTGATTTGAGGTTAATCTCCGCTTTCTCGTGTAACGATTCACATCCGCCATATCCATCATGTCTCATTCAGATCATCGCGGTCATACTTCACGAGATGGCCACAGTTGCAGTGCTACGCAATCCGCCAGACGACAAGCCGTAGCTCCCCCTGTGCCGAATTACGCTGTTCTGTTTCAAAATCCGGAGTTTGCACGTGGTTTCGCCGCTCTGATGGCTCAAACGATCCCCGAAACATCGACGACTGCCCCGGGACACTCTATAATACCAACGACTCCTGCAAATCCGCAGAATCCGCCGGTGCGACGAGACGGCGGAAGAACTACGTCTCACGCCACCTCTCAACCTCGCGGCAGAGCATCGCAACCACCTCCAGAACAAACTACACGTCACGCCGATGTTGGGCGTAATCCTCTCGTAATACCACGCGAAGAAACCGCCGAAAGTCAGTCGGGACATTCACGACGGTCGCCGCCTCAGGTACGACGTCAAATTCCTCCTGATCCAGTGCAGACTGATCTTCGTCAACATATTGAGAGAAACCGAGCTCGTCAAGAAACTTCCGAACTTGAAACATTGCGACGAAGAATTGCAGAATTGGAAAGTCGGCAACGGGCACCCGAAGACCCCCCTCGACGGGCCTCAACCTCGGCGCAAGTATATTTGGAAGCCGACTCCCCTCTCACTCCGGAGCTCACTTCGGAACCTGTGCCTGGGAAAGTCAAAGTCCCCCAGATCGGACTATACGATGGAACTTCAGACCCTGACTCGCACCTCGGTCATTATACTTCGTGGATGGACTTGCACGGGGCCTCAGACGCACTTCGGTGTCGTATGTTTTCTCTCACGCTGGGGCCTCGGGCCCAAAAATGGTACCATTCTCTTCCTCCCCATTCAATTTGGAAGTGGCAACAACTGAGGTCGGCTTTCCGATCTCATTTCATCGGGGCTCAAGTCTGTTTAATTCCAAAAGAATCTCTTGCAAACGTAACTCAGAAAGATGATGAAAGTGTCAAGGATTATATCGCCCGATTTAACGACCGAGTCCAAAACATGGAGCCTTGTCATCCCGAAACCCTGCTTGTCATGGCCATTGCCGGACTGAAACCGAATTCGATTTTCCGCTGGACATTATGTCAAAATAAGCCAAACACTTTTCAAGAATTTCTTGCTCGAGCTCAGCAGCACATCATAGCTGAAGAAGCCATGTCGGTCCCCGATTTTAACTTTAACCCGAAGCCTTCTAGGGCGGGGACCGACGAGAAAAAGAAGAATAATTTTTTCGAAAAGCAAAGCAAGACTCAGTTCAGGGGACCTCCCCGAGGAGACCCCAACGATCCTGAAGTTCGAGCAGTCCGAAAACAGTATGCTACCGATGTAAAGTCCGGTTATCAAACCATATATTCCGCAGGGGCAGCCACCATATATGAAGAAATCAAAGGGAAGGGCATTTTACCAGATCCCAAACCACTTCGGATGCCCGAGGAGAAATTGGACAAGTCCCGGTATTGCGATTATCATAAATCGCCAGGGCACAACACAGATGAGTGTTTAAGTTTGTTAGCAGCCCTGTTACGATTAATTGGTCACCCACAGCTTAGAAAATTCTACCGCAACACCGACCCCCAGAGACGAGGTCCAGGGCGTCAGATTGAATCATATGATGAGGATGACGAGGAGGACTGAGGCGCCATGCCAAAACGCATCCGACAAGGAGACAAGGAAGTATTTATGTTCACCTCGGAAACGCCCAATTCAGATTTTGTTGGAACTGCCCGAGGACGTAAACGAGATCGATCTCCTGAACCGATGCAAATCACCGTCCACCGTGTCAACACCAATAACTCCCGGAGTACATTGTCCCGTCGACAAATCAAAGCCTATGCCCGACAAGCGTATAACTCCGGCAAACAAGTGTACACTACTGATTTGAGAGACATCCTCAACAATCGGAACTGTCCTATAACCTTTAATATGGAGGATGCTAATCACTTCGCACACCCTCATTCCGATGCACTTGTTATCACCGTCCCTATATGCGGAATTCCCGTTCATCGCATTATGGTAGATACTGGGGCCTATTCGAGCATTTTGATGTTAAAAGCTTTTGACAAAATGGGTCTTGATCCCGCCGACATCCGACCTTGCAATGATCAGATACAAGGGTTCAACGGAAGTATTTCGAAGCCTATCGGCGAGATCACTTTACCTGTCAGATTCGGCACTTCGGAGAACGTCACTAAGCTCGTCATGGAAACTTTCAAGATTCTGGATATTAACAATGAGTACAATGCCATCATCGGCAGAACAACATTGTATAAACTTCAAGCTGTGGTTTCAATCTTTCACTACGCACTAAAGTTCCCGACTACACGAGGAGAAGGGACGCACTTCGGAGACCAGAGAGAAGCTCGAGAACTTATTACATTCATACCACCCAGCGGAATCCATTCCACCTCGACGGGTAATAATGAAAATTCTCCCCTACAAAACATCTCGGACAACACGGTGTCCGGAGAACCAAGCCACAACGTCGGCACTTTTCTCACTCTGGATCCCTTGACCGAAGATCGAGGTCGCCGGCTCGGAAAGGAGCCTATCCTTGAAGAAGATGAGTTGGACCCAAGAGCCCAATTTAAAGAAAAAAGTCGAAATGATCGAGCCGAACCTGGAGAAGAAGTAGAGTTAATATACATCGATGAACCAATCTTCCACAAGTCATTGCACATCGGGAGTCATCTCCAAGAGCCTCTTCGGTCGGAACTTATTTCGTTCCTCAAACATAATTCTGATGTTTTTGCCTGGAAACACGAAGATATGAAGGGTATTGACCCCGGTGTTGCTAGTCACAAGTTAAACCTCGATAGAACCGTCCGGCCTGTTGTACAAAAACGAAGAAAACTGGGGCCAGATCGTCAGAAAGCATTGGAAGAAGAAGTTAAGAAACTCATCGATAACAAATTTATCAAAGATGCCAAGTATCCGACATGGGTCTCAAACCCCGTTCTTGTCAAAAAGAGCAATGGTATGTGGAGACTGTGTATTGATTTTTCCGACTTGAACAAGGCATGTCCGAAGGACAGTTACCCACTCCCACACATAGACTACATGGTTGACGCCACGTCGGGACACGAGTTAATGAGTTTTATGGATGCGTACTCCGGTTATAATCAGATTCCTATGGATCCCGAATATTTCGAACACACATCGTTTTATTCGGCACGAGGCCTGTACTGCTATACCATGATGCCGTTTGGGTTGAAGAACGCCGGAGCCACTTACCAACACCTCGTCAACAAAATGTTTGCCACGATGATTGGTCATACTATAGAAGTTTACGTCGACGACATGGTCGTCAAGTCGGTGCACGCTTCTGACCATATAACACACCTTCAAGATATGTTTGATGTCCTCCGATCTTATTCCATGGTCTTAAATCCCAAGAAATGCACCTTCGGAGTTAAATCGGGAAAGTTTCTGGGCTATATGGTCAGCCAACGCGGAATTGAAGCCAACCCGGCCCAGATAAAAGCCATTCAAGACCTAACTCCCCCGACTTCGGTTAAGGGTGTTCAGGCCCTAACTGGCCGACTTGCTGCT